AAAGGAAGACGACAAATGAACGCACGAAAAAGGTAGACAGGCCTTCTGTCCACGTCATAAAGAAATGGCGCCGTTTTTTTAATTCAAAAATTAAAACCATTTCTTGATTTAAACAAATGGTGCCCTTCTTTTTGAAGGGGACACCTCTATTTCTTTCTTTTTTTTTATAAATTATATTTATATACAGAGGGTGGCGCCTATAGAAACGGAAATGGCAAAAAGGCTGCTACATAAGGAAAGAAAAGACGGAAGAAAAAAAAGAAAGGAAAAAAAAATGAATATGCTCAAGCAAACACATCATCTTTTTGCGGCTCTTCAGTTCCGTGTACTCTGTCGAAGGAGGAAGGTCAATTTTTCGCTTTTCCTCAAATCTATCTAACTGAAAAAAAAAACAGTAAGAAAAAAAAAGGGCGGGAAAATAGGGCCGGAAAAAAGGCGGGAAAAAAGGCAGGAAAAAGGTGGGGAAAAAGGTGGGGAAAAAGGCGGGGAAAAAGGCGGGGAAAAGGTGGGGAAAAAGGTGGGTGAAAAGGCGGGAAAAAAAGGCGAGGAAAAAGGCGGGAAAAGAGGGCCGGGCGGGGGGAAGGGGGGGGGAGGAGGGAACACTATACAGCAAATGAATGGCACGCATAAAGATCGGCGAAAATGCCAGATTAGCATGGCCCCTGTGCAAGGATGACACGCAAAAAAAAAAAAAAAAAAAAAAAAAAAAAAAAAGGAGAAAAAAAAAAAAAAAAAAAAGCCAGAGCCTGAACGCGGGGCCGGGACGGCCATTTCCTTCCTACCCTCTATATATCTATCTTATCCTCCGAGATACATATCAATCAATCTATCTATACATCAATCAATCTATTTATATCACTCAGTCTATCAATCTATGATAACATCTAATTAACGCAAGGTTTCTCTATCTACCCAGTATCTCTTCTCGAGGAACATCTGTCTACCTAATTAAGATCTCGACGTCGTTACGCATCATCATTCATCTCATCGTGACACGTCATCAATCATCTACTCAAGACGTCACCAATTATCTAGTCATGACACGTCATCAATCATCAAATGCTGATGATGTAGGTAGCCCATCTAATAGCGACACGTCATCAATCATCTAGTCATGACACGTCATCAATCATCAAATGCTGATGATGTAGGTACCCCATCTAATAATGACACGTCATCCATCATCGTCTAATAATGACACCATCAATCATCAAATGCTGATGATAAAGGTACTCCACTGCGTCGCTCGCAACACTCCCTCCTCTCTCCCTTGTGGACCGCTTACGTCGATCTCCGAATAGAACGAACGGTCCTGATATCGCCGATGCATGTAGACTGAAAGTTGCAGCAAATGCAGCTTCCATCTAGGACGTCCAACCAGCAGAGAGACATGACCAAGGCCCCCCGCAGTGTACCCGTAATTTCTCTCTCTCTCTCTCTCTCTCTCTCTCTCTCTCTCTCTCTCTCTCTCTCTCTCACCTTTCGTTTCGCGTACGTAATCGAAGCACACGACGTCGGCGTTCTCTGCTGCTGCCCCCATCCCCTCCCCCCATCTTCTGTGGATAATTGCCGTCTTCTCCCGAATAGAACGCCCCCTGTTGTCCCGAATAGAACGCCCGTTCTTTATCGCTTGTCTCTTGTCGACTGTAACTTGCCCCCAATTCAACAGCTGTAATGACCGAATAGAACGCCCCCTGTTGTTCCGAATAGAACGCCCGTTCTATTCGACGGAACACAGTCGGCGACATACTCACAATTACTGCAATTAATTAATTATATTCCGTAATCAACAAGCTCTCCCTCACGACATTCTCCCTGTTTGCGCGCTCGGCTGCGCCTGCTCTCTCTCTCTCATTGTCTCTCTCTGCCAGCTGAGCTCCGCTCGGCTCATCACCTCCACAAAGACCCACACACACACACACACACACACACTCCCTTCTACTCTTCTTCCTGAGACTGGATCCCGCGACATCGTCGCTTTCTACTAGTATTACTTCCGGCGCCGCCGGCTAAATTCGCTAACGCACTCGCCACAGCCTTGTATCCGGCTTCCATCTTGGATGCCAGAAGAGACAAGCTCTCTCGCTGCATTTCCGTGTGCGCTCGCATGGCCTGACAGCTCAGCTCTACGCACTGCCTCTGCACTCTGCACTGCTCCTTCGCTAGCTCTCTCAAGGCAGCCGTCTGCTCTCTCATCACGTGCGCGATTTCCTTCATAGCCTCCTCGCGGGAGTCGCCATTTGCGCGCGGCCGTTTCCTTGATGACGTGGACGTCACGTGGGTCGACAAGTCGCCCCCCGGCCCCCCGGCGCCGCCGCCGCCGCCGCCGCCGCCGTCACCGGCTGGGCTGCCATCGTCGTCATCGTCGGAGACCGGGCTGACACAATCCCGATGATCCCGATCGCGATCGCGATCGCCGCCGGCAGGATGCGCGGGATCAAATCCGCTGCCGCCGGACGCATCTGGGCTGGCAGGGCCGGAGCTTGCCTCGCGCGCCGCGCCCCCCCCCCCCCCCCCCSCSCCCMYCSCCCCCSSTTGATCTGCYCYGCCGCTYCCCCCGCCGCCMCCCYSYCGCCGCCTGTCCGCCGCCATCCCATCACCTCCACCTCCACCTCCACCTCCATCCCCCCCCTCTCCTCCTCCTCCTCCTCCCGTCGACACGTCATCCCTAATCTCCGCTGCCGGATCCAACCCTAGGTTAACAGGATGGCTAGCGGGATTATTCCCTCTCAGATAAACATCTATCAAATCGAACCAGTGGCGGCGGAGATCGAAGCCTAGACCTGCTTCGATCCGCTGCGACGGCGCCATTTTCCAATAACTCAACCGACTGCTGCGCGCTTCGTTCTTCAGCACGCGCCTAAACCACCCGCGCAAATTTTTCCATCTCGTTTGGCACTTACACCATGGCCGCTCATACCCCGCAGCGCGCATTGACTGCGCAACCATCTTCCACGTGGATTTGGTAGTCCTCCTCACACCGGCAGGCTCCAAGTGTATGTCTCCATCTGCCCCTCCTGAGGCCCTGTGCTCACCCAGCAGTCTAATCAAGGCCATGGTTTCGTCATCGCCCCACCGATCCCGCTGACGGCCTTGTGGGCGCGCAGATTCCCGCCCACCAACACCACCATCTTCCCCTTCCCCTTCCCCTTCCCCTTCCCCCTCCCTCCCCCCACCTCCGCCGCCATCGCGCCCGTCGCAAACCTGCTTACCAACTTGAGGTCCTCCCCCCTCGTTACCTCCTCCGTCGCGGGAGGCAGTTTCCTTAACATCTCTGGGGCCGCCACGTGTACACACGCGCGACATTGGGGCCGACGTGTGCTCCCCCTCCCCCCCCGACATACCCGTCTCCTCCTCATCACACGTCCCGCCGCTTTGCAATCCCTCCGTACATTGTAATGAGCACAAGCGACGGAGACCATCGCCCTCAGCTTCGCCGCTGTCCTCATGTGCCAGCGTGGCAGTCTGTTGCGACCCCGGCGCATCTGATGATTGCCCTTCCCCGCCAAGAGGCGGGGAGGCCGAAGCAACGTTGGGATCCCCGCCTGGCTTCGTGCGGACCTGAAGCTGATCCTGACCGCTAAACTTGACACGTGTCAGCTCGTCCTCCGCTTCATTGTCAGATCTCAAATCGCTTTGCACGTCCTGCGCATCAGCTGTCGCCGCAGATGACAGTCTGATCCCTCCCCCCGCCTGCGCATCGTTCAGCAGCGCGGGCGATGACGACGACGGGGGCGGAATCGTCGAAGGCAAACCAGTCCTTGGTGTCTGTCTGTCCAGACACATCGCGCGCATCCGTAGCTGCGTGCGCAGTACCTCCAAGGCCTCGCCCCCCCCCCCGGAGTTTATCAGATAAGCAGACGTTCCCTGCGCAGTCGGGTCATTTGCCGTTGGGGTCGATCTGGGACCCCCTCCTCCTTGCGAATGACCTGGATTGGGGGCAGGGGGGGGGGTCGATTTCGCTGCTGAGGGCCTCTCGCCATGGCCCCCCCGCACATCCGCTGAATCATCGCCCGATCTGCGCATGACGATCCCGGGGACCACATCTGATGACGCCCTCTGATCTCTCTCTCTGCGCGTACGCGTCTGTGTCTCTCTTTGCTTGTTGTTGGTGTTTGTGTTTCCGTTTGTATTGCCGGTGGGCGTGTTGGTTGTTTGCGAGCCGGTGTGCCGTGCTTGGGTGTGCTCTCTCTCTGTCTGTGAGTGCGTCGACATGTTGGCTATACCCAACCCCACTGAAAAAGCATTGCTCTGTACGTATGCGTTTGTGCTTGCGTGTCTGTCTGCGTGTATGCGTGTATGCGTGCTTGTGTGTGTATACCTGTGGGTGGGTGTTCGTGTATTGTGTCTGTGTCTGTGCTTGTGCTTGTGCGTGTGCGTGTGCGTGTGCGCGTGGGTGTGTGTGTAGGTGGGTGGGTGCCGGGTGGGTAGGGGGCTGGTGGATCGGTGTTTGGGTATAAGTGGGCGGGTCCCTGATTAAACAATATGTCGGGGCCTATGTGGACCGGCCCTGCGTTCTACTTGGAGATCGGGCAAACCCGGCCATACTCCGATCACATTACGAAGCCACACACGCACGCACGATGGAGCTGTGCATAGCGAACATGGGAACAACAGTGTGTGTGTGTGTGTGTGTGTGTGTGTGTGTGTGCGAGAGAGAGAGAGAGAGAGAGCCGATCACATGACGGAGCCACGCACACACACACAAACACCAGGGCGGGGGGGGAAGGAAGAGAGAGAGAGAGAGAGGGGGGGGAGGGAGGCGGGGGGGCGCCGATTGAACAATATGACGGGGTATATGTGGACCGGCCCAGCGTTCTAGTTGGAGATATTTTCGAAACGGACATACGAGGTGGGGTCGCGATCTCGGCCATTCTTCGATCACATTACGAAGCCAAACACGCACGCACGATGGAGCTGTGTATAGCGAACATGAGAACATGCAAACACACACACACACACACACACACACAGAGAGACGATCACATCAAGTAGCCATACACACACACAAACGAAGCCACACACACACAGAGAGAGAGAGAGAGAGAGAGAGAGAGAGAGAGAGAGAGAGAGCTGGCGGGAGCGCTGAGTGTTCTGCGGCCTTGATTATCCCCCTGTGAAGGCTGGAAAACGGGTAGCACCCTGGGGCAAGGTCCCACTTGCACGGATTAAGAGATTCTGGCCGTTGATCTTTGCTATCTACGGTCAATATCGCTTAATTCGTGTAAGTGGGACTTAGCCCCTGGAAAACGGGGAGCCAGCTTGGTGGAACCAATTGCCTGACATAGGCTGCAAGCCATACGGGAATGGCAAACCAGTCAGGACAGCGGTCTGGATTTGGCCATTTCTGTTCCTGGACATTATTCCAACACCTCGCCTGCACCTAAACTGGGTAATGGTCCCAGAGGTCTTTCTCCAAGGGCGAGGCCCCACTAGCAAAGAGGATTGGCTTGAAATGCCTGAATCTGGACGTTTATGAGGACAGATGCAAAAAACCGTGACTGATCTGCTTTTATGCATCTGCGCCAAGAACCTATCCAGATTCAGGCTCCTAATTCGATCCTCTTTGCTTTTGCTTAGTGGGACCCCGCCCCCGCTTGTTTGTGGAGGGATTCCCGCCGGCCTCCTTTTCTTGGCCTTGCGATATTATTTATCATTTGAGCTGACTGGGCCCAAGCAATTCACTAGTAGTTGGTTTTACTTGTCAAGTTCCATCATCATCATCTGGATTCGAACACAGGTCTGTATTTCAACAGTTCATGGGTGTACCCACTGAGCTAAGGCTCTTGGGTTTTTCTTTTTTTTTTTTTTCTTTTTTTTTTTCTTTTTCTTTTTTTTGCGTTGTTTTGCATTATAATGAGTGAGCAGAGTCGTTTTTGTTTAAAAAAGAATGGGGAACCGCATCGCCTCCCATTCCTCGACGTAATTCGCACGGCCGCCCTTCATTGATTGGACGCGTATCTGGACGCCAAATGCGGAGACGTACTCATTGGATCGCGTGCCTCTGTACATATTCCCTGCGATGACGACCGGCGTGTTCTTTTTTTTTGGGGGGTGGGTGGGAATATAGTATATTTTTTTCCTAAAATAGGCTGCCGATAATGCGAGTGCGATAGGAGGTTCCCGCCAAACAAAATGCGGTGGCTAACCCTTCACTTCTTTTTTCCCTTTTTTTTTTTTTTTTTCCGTTTTTGTTTTGACAGAATGCTTCATTCTACTGTTCCACTGGGGCGAGGTCGCACTGGCGAAGAGGGTTGGATAGAACGCCTGGATAGAACGCCCGAACCTGGACGCCGTTGTGACAAGATGCAGAAAATGGAGATTGCACTGCTTTTCTGCACTTGTGCTTGAAACACGTCCAGATTCGGGCGTTCAATCCAATCCTCTTGCTAGTGAATTGCCTCGCCCCTGGTGGAGGAGCTGCACCTGCTGGAAACGAGGGGCATGCCGCACTGTAGAGAGGGTGGGCCTGAGGGCTATGGCAGACAGGCAGAGAGGATACTACCGGTACTGTGTAGGCTGGTAGCAATATGACCACTTCTCAGGGCATAGTCACACTGAGACCTAATTGTGGTCAGGTGCATATAGGCAGGGTCGGAAAAGTTTGCAGCCAGGATGGCTGCGTCTATGCCAGTAGTTGTTTATCCTTTGTCGTTTTGTCTCGTTTTGTCTTTTGTCGTTTTGGGGAGAGGGCTTTTTTGGGAAATGTCTTTCTTTTTTGTTTGAGGGGGGGGAAATAGGGAAAAGTGGACGTTTTCTATTTGTGTGAAGCGGCACCAGCGTCCCATTTGGAACATGAAACATATTTGAGAGCATATACAGAAAAAAAATTGAGATACGGGAACTTCAACCCGGCTTTGTCTGAAGAATAAGGGTTGGACCCCACAGCGGCGCGGACGATTTTCATCCTTCCCACCGCCAATGGCAATTTTCCTTCGCCAGCGGAGAGGCCGAGTTGGAGGGGATCCCACCGCGCCCTTTTTTTTTCCATCCCCGGTCGTTTCGGTTTCCCGAACAGGAAAGTGGCAGAGGACTTTCCAATTCGGGCAAGGCGTTATGGGCGTTCGGTGAGGCTGCTGTGGACCTGGGTACAGGACGCCATTCCGCGCCGCTGTCCTTGGGCGACGTTGCGTGGCGTGCGGCATCGTGGGTGGGGCAGCACCCCGCAAAAGGGGTTGACTTCGGTTGGGGAACCGATGCAGCCCTTTTGCGACCGTTGGTCAGGGTCGTTGCGGGCCGGTTGTTCTAGGGGACATTTCGACTGTTGTCGACCTCCTTGTTTGTATCCACGGTGGAACCACGGGATTCCACGGTCCCACCTGGGAAAGGGCGAAGGCGATGTGGGGCGCAGTGAGCATGCTCTCTCGGAGTCCGTGGCTGTTTCGGGCAACACACCCGTGTTCGTCACACTCGATATGTCCGCCATAGCCGGTCGTTGTTGAAGGTCGCGCCTACGGATCGGGATATCGCCGCGGATGTGGGTTCTGGACTGCCATGGCGGGACGTGGAAAGATCTCCACAAGGTCGGTGAGTCTCATGACAAGATCTTCGTCCGGTTCTGCAGACTCCCTCGACCACTCTTCTATGAAGTTGCACAGCGAATAGCGCCACACATTCAGCGGAAGTTGACGAACTGGAGGCAGCCAATTCCAGCTGCACAGAAGTTCGTGTGCGTGTTGATCAGATGGGCCACAGGAGGCTATTACCGGCAGACGAGCCATGGGATGGGGATGGGGCTGGCGAGTGCGTTAAGGAGTAACGAGGATGTTGCGGATGCCCTCATCAAGGAGTACAGCCACCTCATAAGGTTCCCAGAAGGTCGTCGTCTGCAAGAGGTGATGGATGCGTTTGAGAGGAAAGGGTTCCCTGGGTCCGTGGGTGTGATTGATGGCACACATCTATACATCGAAAAGCCAAAGAACGAGCGGGCGGAATGCTACTACGACCGCACGAGGCAGTTCTCACTTGTGGCGCAAGTGGTGTGTGATCATGAGTAAAGGATCCAGGATGTTTTCGTGGGGTGCCCTGGATCGGTGCATGACTCACGTGCCGTTCACATATCACACCTGTACAGGGATGCGCAGGACGGGCATAGGATATTCCATGGTGGCACATCCTTTCTTCATTACGGCACACCTGTCTGCCGTTACGTTCTCGAGGACGCAGGGTACCCATTGCTGCCTTGGCTGATGACACCGGTTGGAGGAGACGAGTGCACGCCCCAAGAGGTGAATTTCGATGATTGCCACACATCGGCGAGGAGTTGCATTGAACGCACGTTCACACTTCTGAAGGGTGTGTGGCGAAATTTCTTGAGGCGACAAATCGGCAACATGAAGACGATCATGAAGGAGTTCATGGTCGTCTGCATCTTGCACAATATGATGGTCGACATGCGAATCGACGTCGACTTGGATGACCTTGACTCGGACGACGACGACGATCAAGCAAACAGTGAAAACTTTCGTTGTCAACGACGTCCGTGTGTCCAGCAGCCCCGGAGGAACCGTCGGGACGGCACATACGGTAGCGCCGAGGGTAGGGCGGCGGAGGCGAGGCTCATCTCGCACGTCAATCACCATGTGCGGGTGCATGGCCGACCACCTGCCAACCCTCGGAAACAAGCGCAAGCTGCGCCGTAGACACAAACGGGAAAGGACGACAGAATGTTCTCCCTCTCCCTCTCTCTTTCTCTCTCTCTCTCCCTCTCGCTGTAGATAAATAAATATATATATACATGATAGATAGATAGATAGATAGATAGATAGATAGACACATAAATATATCGATAGATAGTCAGACAGGTAGATAGATTGATTCTATCTACCTTCCTGAATATCTATCTATCTATCTATCTATCTATACATCTACCTTTATTCCACCTGCGTATCTGACTATCTGTCCACCAATCTATCTATCCACCGATCTATCTAGCTACCTATCTATCTGTCTATCCATCCCTCTATCCATCTGTCTATCCACTTGTCTATCTTACTATCTGTCCATCTTACTATCTGTCCACCCATCTATCTATCCACCGATTTATCTATCTACCTATCTATCTGTCTATCCATCTGTCTACGCATAGAGCCTCTCCAATGCATATGTGCGAGGGCATGTGCGTTTGTCGAAATCAATCAGGCAATCTGCGTAGCACGGTGGTTGCACATGCAGACAGGAGGTCATGCACTCATTAACATATTAGTTGCCATTCCAATGATATTTCTGTGAAATCGCTTTTTAACCGTGTGCTAGTTGGTTTTAATTTTATTTCTCTTGTTTTTTTATCTATCTTTCACAGTGTTTCTCATTCGTGATGTGAATGTCTTCGAAACTGTCACGAACCGAAATGTTTTTGATAGTGGTTGGCATTCGTGATGTGAATGGTATTTGTGACGTGAAATGTTCGTAATGCGACCAATGAATAGACGGTGATGCATCTACACAATGTGCTCATAGTTTCATCATATTCAATCGTTTATCAATGGCCAAAGCACATATGGACAAGCGAAGATGTATATGCATATACATAACGAAATGCACATGTTGACGACGAGCGACAAGCCAAAAAAACGATATTATTTGGAAAGTTCGAAAAAATGACGAGAACCGACGGCATGAAAACAAAAAAGGTCATACACACGCATCCGCACGCAAGCAATGCCACACCAATTATAGACCGGCACACGAACAAAAATATTCAAATATCGGACAAGTGCAGTATCCAGAGACGGTTGATCCCCGACGAAATTTTGTCCTTCTTCCACTCCGTTCTCACAATAATCCCGAAAAAAGGCGCTCAAAGCACCAACCAACATCGGCGACGGCCTCGTTCCGGGCATTGTTTCTCACACGAAGAATCCAACCGGCGGTGCATCGTCACAACATGCTTGACACGTGGTCGTCTTCACACCCATGCCAACAAAACAGCAACCAGGCAAGCAGGTGACGATTGCGTCTCGCCGCGCCACGAACACACACACACACACACACACACACACACACACACACATACACACACACACACACACACACACACACACACATATATGACGATCGAAGTTCATGACGTTAGGGACATTACACGTCGGTGGCGGCCGACTACTATCCTCCTCGACTGCCCTTACAAAAGAAACAAAATAAGAAAAACGAAAAAAACAACAACGGCCGACAGATCACCGAAGCACACGACGGTGACTGAAATGCAGACGTGGCAGCATATCTTGTCATTACAGTGCAGGGGTTCTCCTCCCTTCTGCGCTGCCATGTCATCTTCCAACCTCTCCACACCCNAAAGTTCGGAAAAATGACGAGAACCGACGGCATGAAAACGAAAGAGGTCATACACACGCATCCGCACGCAAGCAATGCCGCACCAATTATAGACCAGCACACGAACAAAAATATTCAAATATTGGACAAGTGCAGTATCCAGAGACGGTTGATCCCCGACGAAATTTTGTCCTTCTTCCACTCCATTCTCACAATAATCCCGAAAAAAGGCGCTCAAAGCACCAACCAACATCGGCAACGACCTCGTTCCGGGCATTGTTTCTCACACGAAGACTACCACGTATCCAACCGGCGGTGCATTATCACAACATGCTTGACACGTGCTCGTCTTCACACCCATGCCGGCAAAACAGCAACCGGGCGAGCAGGTCACGATTGCTTCTCGCCGCGGCACGCACACACACACACACACACACACACACACACACACACACACACATATGATGATCGAAGTTCATGATGTTAGGAACATTACACGTCGGTTGCGACCGACTACTATCCTCCTTGACTGCCCTTACAAAAGAAACAAAAAAAGAAAAACGAAAAAAAAAACAACGGCCGACAAATCACCGAAGCACACGACGGTGACTGAAATGCAGACGTGGCAGCATATTTTGTCGTTATAGTGCGGGGGTTCTCCTCCCTTCAGCACTGCCACGTCATCTTCCAACCTCTCCACACCCAACATTCAGATGGGCGAACACCCCCCCCCCCCCGGAGCAAGCGATGACCGACAGATGACCCGTGACCCAAGCGACTACCTACATATCACCCTCCAACTGCTCCATACCCAACATGCAGATGGCCGATTCGCCCTCTAATCGCGCGACGGTCGACAAACTACCGAAAAACCCATTAGCGGCAATAAATCTGTTGACGTGGCAGCATCGCATACGATGATCTTGCGAGCTTGTCCTCCCTTCTGCGCTGCCGTATCATCGTGCAACCAATCCACACCGAAGACGAAGATCTGTGAGTTGACGTCCAAGCAAGCGTGCACCCCAAAAACGCGCACCCCCTGTGTCCTAGCCACCTTCGTGCATGATGCGATCGCATCCAATCTTCCCTTGCGCTTCATCGCCGATTATGCAACACTCCTTTTACACTCACCACCGCCGACGCGCAGCCTTCAGATCATCTTCCGGACCCCACGACTGCAGAGCGTTGTGCAAGTACTGCCTACCCCGGACATAGGGCTGCATGTGCGCCACGTAGAAGGCATTGCCGTGAAGCGCAGCCATGTGTTCATCAGCTATGGCGGACACCAGGTATCTAACGATGTCGCCGACGACATCACGTTATGGGAGACGCCACTCGTCGGGGATGACTTCTGACAACTTCTTCACGTTGAGGATGACGTCCAGCAGGTTGCCTTCCTTGTCGTACTCGAAACCGCCGTCGATCTTCATCGCCAGGGTCCCTTCCACGAGAACATAGTAGACACGACTATGGAGATCAGCCGTGTCAGGGCTGAAATCCATCCAGCCGCGAGGGTGGCAACGCCGATCCACCTTCGTTTCCTGGACGACGACGGTTCTCCCGCCCACGATCTCCCGCACCACCTCCTCGACCCCCACCATCTCTGTGTGTGTGTGTGTGTGTGTGTGTGTGTGTGTGTGTGTGTGTGTGTGTGTGTGTGTGTGTGTGTGTCGGTCGGTCGCTCGCTCTCGCTCTCTCCACGACTGATGTGCACACGTACTCGGAAGGGGGCATCGACTCCTGTCACCACAACCCGGCAGAGAGACAGGCATGAGCGATCTCATGTAGTGACTCTGTCCAATCCGTGAATTTATGGCTCCGGACGAGGGCAAAAGATCCCACCCGCACGCGGAGTTTGACGACCAGCCCCCCCCCTTCCCTGTGACTAGCCACCGTGGTGTCGGACCCGACAAGACCCCTTCCATTCACCGAGGGATGCAGCAATGCATGAGCACTGGCAGTGACGGTCCGCTAACGGATGTGACAACCCTGTTTTTTTTTTTTTTTTCGGCGTTCCTATTTTTGTTCTACTCCCCCACATCTGTTTCTTACCCTGTACCGTTTGTTACCAGCCTCTTCACTACCCACCGCTTTGAAGGATCGGTGCCCCTACACCCCCCCGGTACTCCACGGTCCACCCGAATTTCGGGCACCCATCACACCAACCAGGAGCTGCAGCACAGCGTTCCCTTCACCCATGGCTGATGCGACTGCACCTATCTGCGTCGCCATTTCACCTATGCTCCCGGCGACGATGGTGGCATCTTCCTTGTTCGCCTGAGCAATCGTCGCCGCGGCTCTATCCAAACCGTCCACGTACACACGTATGGACTCAACCACGGCAGCTCCCACAAACGACACAGAAGATGGGTCATCTCCAACATGGACTTTGCTGCCACTTGTTCGCCTGAACTTCGACCTACTACCCGGCGTGTCGGGCCCTCCTCTGTCTGACCCTGCTTGCTCACCTGAACCTCCCCCCGTCCCTTCTGCTTCAGCTCCACCCATGGTGTCCGAGTTCATGGCTTCATCACACGTCCCAGACGGTCTTTGTAACACCCACTCCATCGCCTGCCAAAGACGTTGATCGAATGTGGTGTAAAGACCTTCTGCCTCTCTCTCCTCTTCGGTCATATCCCAATACGATTGATGGCCTGACCTCCCCACCTTATCCACAAGCAGTTTCAGCTTCTGTCCCAGGTTAAACCATTTTTTCCTGCAGTCCTTGGCGGACCTCATCATCCCTTTCTCTTTCATGCACTCGGACACCCACTTTTGTCTCTCGCCCTTCTTCATGCACTTGTGCCTGGCGGACACATCTGCCATCATCGCGTCATCCTCACGTTGCCATTTCGCCAACGCCAAGCACTCCTCCAGCGTCCAAGGCACTATCTTTTAGGCAGGAGTTTTTCCTTTACGCATTCCCTCGTTAACTGGTGTCGGGTTGTCATTGGTCTCCTGCCCGCCTACGTCCTTTCCACTCCCACTCGCCTCCAAAGGGCATGCAGATGGTGGTGGAGTACACCCTCCTCTGCCACGTCCTCCCCGTGCCGACTGTCTTGCCCGACCGCTTTGTCCACTGCTGTCACTTGTGCCTTGTCGCCCTTCACCTCGCCCCCTTCCCTCACCACGACTGGTCGGTGGCAAGCTTTGATACTGCGCCGATTGTTGGGAACTGTGGCGAGAACCTCCCATACCTCCGTTTTCGCCGTCCTCGACCCAATGTTGTTTGTCCATGCTCACAAAGCAGATGACAATGCAAAAACACTGTGACCTTCGTCCCCTACGAAAAACGGACGAAAACGGCAACGCAAAAGGCGAGAGCGAGGAGGAGAACAACACAGGCCAGGAAGATGGCAATGATAAGGATGACCGACAACCCTAGCATGAAGAGGATTGTGGGATGAAGGAAAATGCAAGGAGTACGGACATCTGTGGAGCTTGCTCCCCTTCGGCAGCAGCAGCAAATATCATAATGACCTATGCTGCCAGGCAGGTTGATCCCCGGCGCCTCTGCCGTCGTCACTGCCGCAGACACACGTGGCTGCAGGGTCGTCGGCTCTTGTGCTGCTGAACCGGTTGCGGGTGGCAACTGACGTGCGCGAAGGACACGTCGGGCCGGAACGGGAAACTGAGAAATCGGGAGATGACACTGACCAATGGCCGATGCGGACTGAGTGAGGAGCCTGCAACGTGGCACGCATGCAGCTGATGTTTTCGTCCGTCGGGAGGGGAGGACGACCCTGATGACGATGTCCCCACCAACCTCACTGCAGATGGGTGGGCCTCGGGCTGCCACATTCGGGAGACCTCGCCGTGCTCGCCGGCCTTGTTGCTCGTACCATTGCCAATCGGAGGAAGTAGTCGATGTCCAAGGTACGCTCCGCAAGTTGCTCCTACAACCCGACGATGACGTTGTGGAATGTGCGGTGAGAGGGCCGCTAGGATTGCATGAACCCCTTGCATGCCTTTGGACGGCCTGAGGTATGACGCTTGGAATGATCGTGGAAGGTCGGTAACGGCTGCCCGGGTTGTCGCTTGCATGGGACATGCACGAGACAGTCGTCGTTCGAATGCTCGATGCAGCGGATGTCCCTTTCCTGTCTTTTTTTTTTTTTTTTTTTTGGTTGCCGTTCACGTCGTGTACAACCCTTTTTGAAATCCTCCCGCCCACCAAACCCGCCCAGCCTCCCCCATCGA